GGGGGGGGGGGGGGGAAATGATTTGTTTTTAGGAAGATCTTGTATAGCCCCAAGTTTAAGATCTCATGGGGAGGGGCGATTCATTTTTAGTAAGATCTTATATTGACCCAAATTTAGGATCTCGAAAATGTAGAATTTTGTATACTGTACTGTTGTTAATCCTTGGAGAATTTGACGTAAACAATAAATATATAGTACACAAAAATTCTTGATTGCAAACATAAAAAGTACCTGACAGAGTATAAAGTAAATCTAACTGGAATATATTGGAAATTAGATAAAAACCACCCTTGACAATAAGCACCCACACAAAAACCACTCACAATGGACTATACCATTGTTTAATTGCGGTGGGCAGTGGGGTTGATAATGTTTAACCTGCTAGATACTCAAAATATAGCTTTCCACTGACATTATGGATATAATGCCCTTTAAAAGTTTGATCACCAGGTGAGAAAAATAATAAAGTTAACTATCTACTCATATTTTTCTCGTAGCTTGTGTTTTAGTAAAACCGGTAGAATGGATAAAATTGCAAAGAATGCAAGTGCAAGTATGGAGGTCCATGACACTGCTTCACCGTAGTATGTTAGTTGGTATAATGTTGTTCCAGCTTGAATTGCCACAAATGACGGTGGTAAAACTCCTTAAAAAAAACAAAAGATGACATCATATATTCCATGATAGCTTACTAATTTTTATAAATGTTTTATTTATTCATTTGCTCAAATATACAAGCAAACAAATTATGATGATAATAATTACACTGCACAATACAACCCCTCCTTTGGAACACCTCTATTCAGGGGACACTTTTCCTTGAAACGAGGGGAAAATATCTTTTAACACAAAGGCCTACCCTTATTAAGGGGACACTTCCTCAATGTGCCAAATGGTCAAATCAATACATTATTAACCCCTATTTAGTATTAAGGGGATACTTATTTTTTTATTGTATGAGAAACTATACAGTAGTCTCAAAATTTTTAAAAAATCATTCAAATTTATAGCTTGACACCTTTTGAGTAATAAACTGAACATCAAATCACAATTTTTCCTCTCAATATCTAGAATGGACATTTGTATAAACCTGGTGCATGTGTTACTATACTTCTTATATACAATCGTTTAATTTTGGCCAAGAGGATTTCTTTGTTAGTACCATATAGGATTCTAATCTATACTTCTACCCAATTTCTAAGTCACTACTCTGTTCATGCATCCAATAGATTAAGCTCAATATTTAAAAAAAAAGATT